ATATATATATATATAATCTCCCTTCTTTGAACAATCAGTACTGATCATTCCAATGTTTATTCCTAACTGAGACAATAGTAGACCTTTACCAGCTTCCCAGTTATGAATGAACAGGAAGTGATCGCTTCCAGCTCATTCATGACAGGGGACATAGTATGTATTTACTATCGTAATATCTCCTCAGTTTATGAATGGACAGGCGGCGCTCTGCATAAACATACTATATCTGCTCAGTTTGTGAATGGACAGGAGGCGCTCTGTACTGAGCATTTCATGTTCAGTTAGTGCTGGGGCTGCAGAGAAGGCGATTTAGGACTCAGTTTAGTTTAGACCCCTGATATTTCCCCAAAGGCCCCTGACAGCAATGCAAAAAAAAAATAATAATAAAAAAAATAAATTGGTTAAAAAAGAAACACACAAACACGCAACAGTGTGCACCATAATGCTGCGGTGCTTTGCTACAATATCGCAGCGCTTGATTTCTTTTGCTTTTTTAGCTTTTTACAATAACATTAATTCAGCTGTGTGTTCTGCTGTCAGTCCTAGACCCCCATTTCCTCCAAGCACACAAGCAAGTCCTCCTCTCATGGAGGGGGCTCCCCTACTTGTCTGAGTAGGGGGCATCTGTTGTCTTTCTGCTCCCAGGACATTATAGAAGTTTGGGTAGTACAGAATGTTGTGTCCAAGGGCTACATGCTGAAATTTTGGTCTCTGCCTCCTCTCCACTTCATGTTGTGGAACCTGCAAACATCCTCGCAAATGTCTTCTTTCCACTTTCATCAAGTTTTACAAGGCCTCAGTTTATGCCAGTTTTGGATTTAAGATTGTTGAAGCAGCTTTGTAGACTCTCACTTACTGTGTCACACTCCTTAGTTGAACTACGTTTGTATGTCCCAATGAACCTGAACTTGGAGTACATTACATGACAGGTAGCACTTTAAACAGTACAGAACCAATTACGTCCCTCCATACTCAAATGTAGGGGTTCTAAAAAAGATACTCTTTTTTGGCAGTCATGCCATATACTGTATATACTGCTATTACATCAGTGAAAAGGAAAAATAGCATCACAACAGGATGAAGGAAGTATTTTTTTCTGATGCTTATGAGTCAGTTTGTGCTAACAACTAGAAATGTTTTTCTTCATAAAGTTAACCATTCTTAAGTCCTTATATAGCGTGTTTAAGCACACTTTAGAATCCACGTGGTATCTAAAGGGCGTTAAGAAAGCACAGTAAGACACCATAGGAATTAATATTCATGGCAAGATAACATTGGATGATTGCTCAGATATACTGTAGAAGGTTAAAGAAGTCTAGTAGATCTCACCCACATGCATATACACAAAATCCCAGGAAAATACTTCTCACATTAGTGGAGTAAGCATACACTGTGGGCACATGTTTGCTCTGGGGCAATCATATTTTAATGCATGCATCATAACAGACCCCTAATATTTTCATTTTAAAATAGAAAAAGAGATTGAGGACACAGAGCCCTTAATCTCTTTTTCTGCAGCCCCTGTTATAAATGAACAGGAATCCTCTATACTGAGTGTTCCTGTTCATTCATAAATTGTGGATATATTGTGAGTTACTATGTACACACTCATGAATGAACAGGAAGTGATGTAGAGCACTTCCTGTTCATTCATAACTAGCACACAGTAACTCATACTATATCCAGTAATTCACAAACATTCAGCGATCAGTGATCGCTGAATGTTAGTACACCGCTCTTTGACCTGGATCAGCTCTCGCAGGAGGCTGATCCGGCGGGGCAGGGAGGAGAGCTCGTCTATTTTGACAGCTGACTCTTCCCCCTCACCGCTGGCTCAGCCTCCTGTGACAGCTGTCTCTGCTCTCACACCGCTCTCCATCCTGATTTGTCACAGGAAGCTTAGCAGAGTTGTGTGGGAGGAGAGCTCAGGCTCCTGTGACACACCGGCCACTCACAGTGCTATACTCCCACCGCACCACTCGGCCCCCTCTCACAGTTTCTCTGCTCCCCGGTGGAGGCTGCGCTGTGTCAGGGCGGATACAGAGCAGTGCCCAGCGGGAGAGAGAAACTAGAGATGCACCACAATTTCAGCCGAAACATGGCACTTTCGGCAATTTGCTCAAATAGCCATTTTCGGCCACTATGTTTTGGCGGCCGAATTTTCGGTGCATCCCTACTTGTACATACAGTATATAAGGAAAGTGATAAACGTGTCAACATGGTTGTACTGGTGTAGGCTGTACGATGCTAGGTGCAGGAAGCATTAGATCACTTGTTCATTCAGTTGGGGAAAAAAAGATTGGAAAGCTGCTTTGGTGCTGTAGTTAGATTACACATTTACCAAGTTAGGTAAAAAGCACCAGTTTTGCTCCATAGGGTAAGGGGAAGTTAGCATATGCCAATAACTCACTTTCCAGGAATCCTGCCAGACTGCATTTTCATTTTGTATGTGCAGATTACATTAGCTTTCTTTTTGTTTTTTTGTTTTTATAGCTGTGTCTTATAAACTACTGGCAGCATTAGCACAAAAGTAATTTGACCACACAAATCTTCTTGCTTTTACAGGACCTTTTGTGGAGAACGCTATTCTGACAAGCGCTACAAGTGAGGCACTCTACATCGATTTTCAGAAATTCCTTCCACAAGAGCCAGTCAAAAGTGAAGACTGAATGGAACTTTGTAAAGATGGCTTGTCCTGCACCATTACTGATGTGAAGGGGTCAGCAAGTGCGTTAACGTTACAGATATAATTGAAACCGCCTTTTTACTCTGACTCCTTAGGGATCAATGTAAAGTTTAAATAGACGGACACATGACATTCATGTGGCCATAATTGTTTTTTTTTGTAATAAACATATTATATTATTTACTGTTTAATAAATGCTAGTATTTCAATAATGTTATTGGATGCACTCAAAAGGTATTAAGGGTTTTCAAATTTTAAAGAAGTGTGTGTGTGTGTGTCACAAGGTTGCTTATTTGGCCAATTGCTGAAGCATCGATTAGATGATACCAGCTAACACTATCAGCCAATCAATGTATTTAGCTGAACTTTGAAACTGCTTTTCAGTAGAAATCCTGTTGGGAGAAAAAAAACCCCCCCCAATGTATTTGGTCACATTACTAGCGACTTTGGTATCCAGTTTCTGCAACCATGGTATTTCCTGCCTTCTGTCTAGTATGACTTTGGGATGTGGGTTGAGCTTTACCCTTTAGTTACTCTGTAGCTTACTAAATTTTCCTGCACATTTCCACTTTTGCATCTATTTTGATAAATTGCTTCTTTTAAAGGTACTATGTTGCTAAAATAAACAAAACAAAAAAATGTGCCCCCTGCAGAAACGTTAATCCTCACCTTTATTATTGCCCATGCTGCCGATCTCTGCTGTGTTAAAAAAAAAAGCCACATAAATAATCATTGGGTTCTGAAACTTCTAGGAGTATTATATTCCAGGTCACCCGCTGTGCTCAGTGGTTCGATCTACCAGCCCCTAAATGATTATAGTGTCCCATAGTGACATAAGGCCTGTTGGGATGAGGGGAACCAGGACCAACTCTCATGGACGTTTTAGATTCTAAAGCTACTTAAATGGTGGTTTCACTTGCCTACCGAACACATACCACAAAAGCCACCCATTGAATCTTACCCCTGGGATGGAGGACAAAAGGATTACCAGGCAAAAATGTCCAGTGCATTTTTTTGACTCTGCTAATGTTTCTCCTGTAATACCTGCTGCTGCCCATCAGACCCTAGAAACTAATTGTTCTCCAAAAATTCAAACATTAGCCATTTGTTGTCCATATTTCCCACAACTTACTTGCTGAAGCAATTCAATTTAACATTTTCCACACGCAATCAAATACAGTTTGTTCTTCTTGTGCAGGTTGTGTGTGGTAACATAAAGCACTCTACACATTGTCATTTAATACGTTTTGTGGCTGGTGAGTGCAAATATCAGTTTTCTAAATGAGATCCTGTTAGGTTGAACAAGAATGACAATGTTTGTGCTGTGTTCATATTTTAAATGTAATGTATGTTAAAATTTCCTGCTTGTTACATTTTTTTTGTGCAGTTTCCAGTAACTGCATATTCAAAAAGAATTGATATCCATATTGCACCACAGTACAACTACATGGCTGGAAAAACACAGACGCGTGAATGTAGCCTTATACTAAGCATTTAGAGGATTGCTTGATATACTATCATGTGGGCCTCCCACTACTTATGTGTACAGATGGATTATTCTCCTACTCTTCTCTTTAAAGTGAAAGTAAAGTTTATAAAAAAAAAAAAAATGCTGATCAGCAAACTATATATGAAAGAAGAGACTGCAAGTCTCTTCTGCCATAAAAGCTCAGTGCCCAGGCTTAGCATGCCAAGATGAAGTAACTCCAGTGCGCATGCATGGGAGTAACTTCTTCGGGCCTGGCCAATCAAGAATCGGAACCTGGAAGAAAATGGAAGGAGCGGCAAAGGGGGA